TTCAAAACTACCAACTGTTCCACAGGAGAAAGATGATGCTTTCTGCTCCAGTAAAGATTTACAGCCTCGGAAACCCTGTACAGGGTCCCTATGAGTCGGAACCGACTCCACGGCACATAACAACAATTTGATATACACAAAAACACTCAGGAATATGTAATCATTGAAACAATTCAAGGACACATTCTACAAGCCTGCCTCCTGGCCACCAGCATACAGCCTTTCTCTTTCCATAAGTCTAGAGTCCTTAGCTGCCCTATCTCTCTATGACCTCCTCTCTTCCTCCATCTTTGGTGTTGCTGCTTCCCTAGATAAAGCTCCACATTCCTCTTATGCTCTTCTCCCTTGATGGTCCTAGGGCGCTCTGTCCCTGGATGTAAGATTAATTAGTCCCCATTTTTTGTTACAAAACTTCTACTTTTGCAGTTGTGACCATCACAGTTAGTTATGATAACTATTACTCACTATTGAGTCATAAGAATCTTATCCCTATCTTCATCTAGACAAGATGAAAACTGTTCAGTGGGGATTCTACCTTCCCCCGCACACTCTGAAATTAAACTCCCTCTTGAAAACTTGTAAGCCAGCCACTTCATGCCTTTATAGCCCCCCACCCCCCATTTTAGGTAGCCAATGTCTAAGTTGCCCATCCCTATCAACCCTGTGTACAGAAGGTACTTACTACTTGTTTTTGTAAATAAAATTTGATTGAAACACATGTACACCCATTTGTTTATATATTAACTATGGTTGTTTTCATGCGGCAACAGTTAATGTGAGCAGTTTTAAGGCATTCAAATGGTCCATAAAGCCAAAAATATTTACTGTCTTTGTTTAAAATGTGTGCCAGCTTCTCATGAAAGAAAGGAGAAGGGCAGAATGTAATGCTAGTAGAAAGGATCTTCAGTGTCTCCAAATGAAAGCATTCAATCACTTATTTTTTTTAGAAATACGGTCTCATTTTCTTATTAACTCTTGTTTTGTTGTTGTTGTTAAGTTCTGTCAAGTCGATTCCAACCCATAGCGACCTTATATAGGGTTTCCAAGGAGCAGCTAGTGAGCTTGAACCGCCAACCTTGCATTTCAAATGGCTTTGCGGTCTAGCCCATTAACCCACAGTGCCACACCAGAACTGTGGGTGTGTCTATTAAGTAGATATACCCTTTTACCTGGTTCCAATGAATACAATGCACCTAAAAAGAATTTCTAGCTTCCTTTCTGAAATGAAATCAAATATTACCTATCAGGGATCAAAGGAGTCCTGGTGGCACTATAGTAATTAGCTCTGGACTGCTAACTTCAAGGTTAGAAGTTCAAACCCACCAGCCACTCCATAGAAGAAAGATGAGGCTTTCTGCTTCCATACAGATTCACAGCCTCAGAAATCCTATAAAGAGTTGCTGTGAGTAGGAATCGACTTGATGGCAATAGGTTAGCTATGTTGTTGTTGTTGTTAGGTGCCATCGAGTCAGTATCAGGGTAAAATTAGTTCTCAACTTGTTTGATAGTTTGTAAACTATTTACCCTGAACTGCTAATCTAAAGTCTGGTCATTTTTAAATCTACCCAGTGGTTCTACAGAAGAAAGTCCAGATGATTTGCTTCTGAAATGTCCTGGAGTTCAGTTCTACTCTAACAGATGGGGTCGTCATGAGAAGAAACTGACATGACAGCAGTGGGTTTGGGTGGCCTCCTTTGGGAGCTGGAAAGGAGAAACATTTTAAAATTACTCGTGAGATACTTCAAAAGTTGAAGGGCATGCCAAAATCTGCAAAGAAAGTGGATGGGGAGAACAACACGTAGTTTGAAAAGTTCCACAGAAGATTTTGATAGGATCCATCATGTTCCCCCTTCCAACTGGAAGTCATTGATGTATTAGTTAAAAAGAAAAAGCAACTAAATCATACTTCAAAATACAATATTTCCATGAGAGGGATATTTTATTTTTCTTAGAATACATAGGTAAACATAAGTAACATTAACTTGGTAAAAAGAGAATGCAGGAGAGACACCTCTCTGGGTTTTCACCTATACTGTGGTGGTTATACTTTTATATATTTAGTTATACTTTAGTATAAATATTCGTGGTATCACTTACTCAGTGGAATAACTGGAAAAAATGTGGTTATTTTAGCAGCTGGACTTCTCAGAGGGTTGGAAAATATGTTAGCAAACCCTCTGGAACAAGGAAGTTGTGGGACCGGTACTCTAGCTGTGATTCACTGAGCCAGTGCTGAAGAAAACCTGAGGAAGAAAGAGTGTGTCTAGGATGATGTTGGGGGCTGTGCAGTCACAACTCTCCAACACCAGACTTGTTTTGACTGTGGCGCATTGTGTCAGTCTGTGCCATGCCATGGACACTGCAGAGTCCAGTGACAATGGAATAATATGAAGACGTTTTCATGAAATAGTCATTAAGTGTCATTCATATGTCAGATATAATGCTCGTGTATATGATCAATAGCCTTGTATAAGTTCTGGGTTAGGATAGAAATGAATTTGTCCAGTATGATTCTCTTACTCTGAAATTTGAAGTTTGGATTTTTCATGTATATGATTAACTCATTTAATCTGTGAATTTGGGATATCAGCATCTATGTCTTAGGTCTAATATGAAGATTTAGAGAAGTAACGTATAATAAATTCTCTATTACAGACTAGACAATTAATATAATTTCTTTTCCTTTAAATCATGTTCAACTTTATGTAATACATTATCTCTCACATTTGCTTTTCTCCAATCATACATTATAATGTTATCCTAGGTGTGTGACCGTATCTGTCATATGTCAAGAACTGGGAAGAATCTGAGATCTTACCCTACTTTCAAACTAACAAGTTCTGTCACAATTTATAGCAACTATAAGCCAATAATAATGTATGGATTACATCTCAATGTAAAGAAAACAAAAATCCTCACCACTGGACCAATAAACAACATTCTTATCAATGGAGAAAAGATTGAAGTTGTCAAGGACTTCATTCTTCTTGGATCAAATATCAACACTCACAGAAGCAACAGTCAAGAAACCAAAGGACGTATTGCATTAGGCATTTCTGTTGCACAAGCCCTTTTTAAAGTGTCGAAGAGCAAAGATGTCAGCTGAGGACTAAGGTGTGCCTGACCCAAGCCATGATATTTTCAATCACCTCATATGCATGCGACAGCTGGACAGTGAATAAGGAAAACCAGAGAAGAATTGATGCCTTTGAGTTATGGTGTTGGAGGAGGGTATTGAAAGTGCCATGGACTGCCCATGAAACCAACAAATCTGTGTTGGAAGAAGTACAGCCAGAGTGCTCCTTGGAGGCCAGGGTGGCCAAACTTGGTCTCTCATACTTCGGACATATTGTCAGGAGGGAGCAGTCACAGGAGAAGAATATCATGTTTGGTAAGCTGGAGGATCAGAGAAAAAGAGGAAGACCCCCAACTAGCTGGATTGACCAAGTGGCAGCATCGATGGACTCAAGCGTGGCAACAGTAATGAGATTGGCCCAGGATCAGGCAGTGTTTCGTTCTGCTATGCATAAGGTCGCTATGAGTTGGTACTGACTTGATGGTACCTAAAAATAACAACGACAACCAAATAAGCCAATAATGCTTGACTGGAGCTCAAGGATCCACTTCCAAGCTCACTCACCTATTTGCTAGTTGACTTCCAAGGCACAGTGCAAGATAGAAGACATAGTCTTCTAACCACATCCCAGAAATGACATATCATCACTTCTGCTTTATTTTATTGGTCTGCTACAATATGGGAGGAGTTTGGACAAGGTGTGAATACCAAAAGGCACAATCATTTGGGACTATCTTGGAGACTGCCTGCGTAGCCCCCACTGATTCACACACCTCCCATGTACAAAATGCTCCCACCTCATCCTGTTGTTGTTCTTAAGTGCCATCAAGTCGGTTCTGACTCATAGCAATCCTGTATAGAGTTTCCAAGGAGTAACTGGTGAGTTTGAATGACAGACCTCCTTGAGGTATGCAGTCTAGTGATTATCCGCGCCAGGACCACCCCATCCAAGTCCTTCCAAAAAAACCATCCCATTTTAATATTAGCTCAAGATCTAGAATTTCATCATCTGTTGTTAAATGTCTTTGAGTCTATTCCAATTCATAGCGACCATGTATAGGGTTTCCAAGGAGTGGCTAGTGAGTTTGAACTGCCAACCTTACAATTCAAACCAACCTTTCAGTCTAGTGCTAATTCTACTGCACCACACAAGGAATCTCATCTAGATCATTTACTTCATCCATATTGAGATGAGGCTCCTCAGGGGTAGTTTCTCTTGATCTGCAGCTTGTGAACTAAAGATATTTACATACATAGACCTAATTTTAAATGATGGAACAAATATGGGTTGTCCCTGAAGATCCCCACAGCAAACCTGATGACAGAGAATGGTTTTGAGATCATTGAGGCAATCATTATCCTCGTACTGGTGAACTGCTTGTAGGATGTATCTACCTCACAGGTATGTTGCGAGGATTATATGAGGTAATACATGTGAAAGTACTTAATGTCCATAGTCACTAGAGTGTGGTGCTGTAGGACGAGTACTGAACTGATAACCACTAAGTCAGTGGTTCAAACCCACCATAAGATCCTTGGAAACCTTATACAGGGTTGTTATGAGTCCAAACCGACTTGACAACACTTAACAACAGCAATGTGATTTATGTACATGTCCATGGGAACGCTGAATGATTCACGCAGAGTCCCCGCCTCGTATCACAAAGAACCATTTTATGTTTTTAGAAATTATGAAAATGTTATAAGCCTTCTTTAATAATTAAATAATAAGTAAAGTGAAAATTAAGTAAAGAATGATTCAGGGAGAGGTGAAATTGTCATTTCTAAGTCATGGAGTTAGATTTCACCCATTGTTATTCATATTGTATGTAAATGAAGTTTAAAGTTTAATTATCAGTTTATTTTTCAGTTCAAGTAAGTAACCATTCTGAATGTCCCCCTTTGATTTAGGAACAGTTGACACCCCATCTCTGCAAGAGAGAATACAAGCAAGACCAAATCCTGAAGAGGTACACGTAAATATATATGTATATATATATACTATTTTAAATGTGTTTAAATGTTTTGGTTAAAATATGCCTGTTTGTAAAATGTCAACTCTCTGTTCCGTCACAGTGTCAGTGCATTTCAGTATAACACAAATCATTTGAGTAGCATGGGTGAAAGAGTAGCCATAAACCTGGTTGATCCATAATTTATGATATTCTTGTGTGTCATGCATGATTAATCAAAGTAGCAAGCCAGTGGTAACTCTTACATTCCTCATGGCTTTGACATCCTGAAGGAGTTGCAGTTGAGTGCATACCTCAGCTCACATCACTGATGTATTGCATGGTCTCTGGTCACAGGCACTGAGCGATTTTCTCAAGAGACAGAAGACAGGAAGATTTGCAACTGCAGAAGAAGTAGCCCAGCTCTGCGTTTATTTGGCTTCTGATGAAGTAAGCAGTATTCTTCCAAAATAGATCATTATCCTGAGTCACATTTGGCCACAGTTTGTCCATTAAGATAGTGCGATTTTAGAAATTCTGTGGTATATTTATGCTAAGATGCTGTGTTTACAAGATAAGGATAGATTTTGATTTAATTTGTTCAAAGAAAGGCCATTTGAACTGAGCCACTGATTCTTCCTCAATTAAATTTGTTGTTCTTTGGTGCCATTAAGTCAGTGCTGTAGTAACCACATGTGACAAAGTAGTGTTGCTTCATAGGGCTTTCTTGGTTGCAATCTTTATGGAATGGAGTCCTAGTATGGCACTACAGGATAATACACTGGACTGCAAGGTTGGTTTGAACCGAAAGGTCGGTGATTCAAACTCCCCTTGGAAACCCTAGACTCGACAGCACTTAACAACAATGATCTTCATGGAAGCAGATTGCCAGCTCTTTCTCCTACAGAGCCACTGGGTAGGTTCAAAACCACCAACCTTCTGATGAGTAGACGAATACTGACCTTGCACCACCAGGGCCCATTCAAATCTTTATGTCACTAAATCCTGTGTGGCACTGTAAGATAAGAACTTGACTGGGAACCACAAGGTTACTAAATCCTGTGTGGCACTGTTAGAAAAGAACTGGACTGGGAACCACAAGGTTTCCTTGGAAACCCTATACAGGGTCACTATGAGTCGGAACTGACTCTATGGCACTTAACAACAACAATCATAACATGTAAGAAACACAGCTGTGTTAACCTATCTAATTGTCTGTCTCCTTGTGTTTATCACTGCAGTCTGCCTACGTTACAGGCAACCCTGTAATCATTGACGGAGGCTGGAGCTTGTGATTTCAGGATCTCCTTGCCATGCGGGAAGGCAGACCCTTCCTTTCCACAATGAGCCTGGATATGAAGAAGACTCGCCGATTATTGCTTTTCAACAAATGGCATATTAATGAAAATTTGCACCATTTTTAATATAATTGTTCACCATAGTTTGATTCTTTGAATACATTTTTGTCATCGCTTTTGAAATCATTATAGGAAGATGACATAAAACATACTGAACAAATGTAAGAGAATAGTTTTTAAAATCTCAGCTTGTAAGCGTATACAATTAAAATTTGAATTTAAAACAGTAATAATTTAAAATTTTTATTATGAACTGAGTGAAGGTTTATAGAGCAGATCATCAATTTTGCATCCAACAAATCATGCACTTTGTTTCATCTCAATTATTTCAATCCACTCCATGTAACAATAGTTACCATACTTCTCTGTGGTTCTTGTTTGCATTCCAACCTTCCCTCTGAGTCTTGTCCCCAGGTAAATGTTGCCCTTTTGATATTGAATGGTTGACCATTCAATAGTGTTTATTGTCCCCTCTATAACCTATTTACCACTTGGTTGGTAAAGGGTGGGCGAGGGCCATAGTCTCAGGTTCCTCCAGTCTCTTTCTGACCGGTAAACCTGGTTTTTGTTTTTATTATAATTGTGAGTTTTGTTCCACATTTTCTTCCACTCTATCCAGGACCTTCTAATGTGATCCTTTTCAGAACAATTGGTAGTGGTAGCTGGGCACCGTCTAGGTTCGTCTGGTTTCAGAGTCATGGAAACTGATGTTCACATATTCTATTACAAGTTAATTGATTACAAGCATCTTCAATTTTCATTCCTCTTCTTTCTTCTGCACATGGAGAGACCATGTGGGTATCCGCTTATGAGTTTTTAAGATTCCAGTTAGTACGCACCAAAGTAGGATGTAGAACATCGTCTTTGTGGATGATGTTATGCCAATTGATAGTAGTGTCTCCTGAGACTATGGTCCTGAGCCCCCAGGCCCAGTAACTCGTTGCCTCAAGGTGTTTGGCAATGTCCAGGAAGTTTTCATCGTTTTGTCCCCTGTGTGCTACAGCACATTAATAGGTTTATTTGCAGTAAAGGTAAATACCCATGTACAGACATCCTCTGTCAAACCATTATGTATTTGAGAGTATACTCCTACTCTTCTTCTCATACCCATTTAGCCTGTGTATCTGTATATTTACCTATATATAATAATATATAACCTATGCATTCCTCCCTGTGCCTTCACCTGTCTTCATCATTTTTCTGTCAACTTCCCTCTTTATGCATTTTGCCTTTCCCGTCACCCAGATGTCTAAGTTCTAGCCAGTAAATTACTCTCCCTTCCCTCCCCCTGCTGGGAACCATCAAAGAATGTTCTTTCAGTATGAAAATCCTTTCTTCAGTTAGTCTCATACAACATTTGTCCTTTTGTTACTGATTTCACTCAGCATAATGTTCTCCAGGTTCATCCATGTTATGAGGGGTTTCACAGAGTCATCATCATTCTTCAGTGTTGCGTAATATTCCAAGGTTTATTTATCTGTCCTTCCATTGATGGGCACTTAGGCTATTTCTGTCTTTTTGTATTATGAATAATGCTGCAAACAACATGGGTGTGCTTATATCTACTTGTGTCATGGCTTTTATTCTTGGGGATATATACCCAAGTAGAGGGATTACTGGGTCATACATTATTTCTATTTCCAACTTTTTGAGGAAGCACCATATTGTTTTTGACAGTGGTTGTACCATTTTACAAACACTCCAGAAATACAGGAGTGTCTCAGTTTCTCCACACCCTTGCCTGCATTTGTTATTTTCTGGTGTTTTGGGTTTTTTGTTTTGTTTTGTTTTGTTTTGAACTTTGCTTTTAATGCTGGGGTGAGATGATAGCTTATTGTTAAGATTTGCATAACTGTAATAGACAATAAACATCATATGTTTGTTGGCCACCCAAATATTTTTAGTGAAGTGTCCTCTGCGTTTTCTAACTGGGTTATTTGTCGTTTTCTTGTAGAGGTGCCATAGTTTCCAATAAACTTTTAAAAATTAGTCCTTGTCTGATATGCCATTGCAAAACAAAACAAAACAAAAATTCTAGTCTCTGGGTTCTCTTTCTACTTTTTTTGTGAAATATTTTGATAACACACAAGTGTTTAATTTTTAGAAGATTCCAGTGGTCTATTTTGCTTTTTGATATTTGTGTTTTTAGTTATGTTTAAAGTTTGTAGAGTCCTGGTGTGGCACTGTGGGTTAATGCATTGGACTGTAAAGTCAGTTTCAACTACAAGGTTGACAGTTATGCTCACCAGCCCCTTCTCAGAAACGCGGCAGAGGGTCACCATGAGCTGGAATTGACTCCATGGCACTAAACAACAAAGTGTATTTATGCCATGTAGCAGAGCCCCTGCGTTTATTATCCCTGTTTCTTCATTGATGATCTTTATAGTTCTAGGTTTTACATTTAGGTCTTTAATCCATGTTGTTTATTTTTATATGTGGTGTGATATATGATTCTGTTTTTATGCAAATGGATTTCTAGGTTTGCTAATACCATTTGTTGAAGAGACTATGTCTTCCCCATTTGATGTTTTCTGGCCCTTTGGCAGAGATCAGTTGACTGTATGTGGATGGATTTACTTCTGGCTTCTTAATTATGTTCCATTGATCAGAAATTTGTTTTACCAGTACCAACCTGTTTTGACAACTGTGGATATGTAGTAGATTTTAAGATGAGGAAGTGAGAGACCTCCAACTTTGTTCTTCTTCTTAAGTAATGTTTGCTTATCAAAGATCTCTTGGCTTTTCATATAAAGTTAGTTATCAGTTTTTACATCTTTTTAAAGAATGGTGTTGGAATCTGGATTAGGATTGCATTTTATCTGTAGATTACTTTGGGTAGTGTTGACATTTTCACAATGTTAAATCTTCCCATCCATGCATGCTTGCTGTTGTTGTACCAACTCAAAGCGCCCTTATGCACAATGGAATGAACCACTGTCTGGTCCTGCGCCAAACTCATAGTCTTTGCTACACTTGAGACCATTGCTTGTACCACTATGCCAATCCATCTCATTGGGTGTCTTCCTCTTTTTCACTGACCATCCACTTCACCAAGCATGGTGTCCTTCTCCAGGGACTGGTCCCTTCTAATACTATGTCCAAAGTATGAGAGATGAAGTATGGCCATCCTGGCTTCTAAGGAGCATTCTGGCTGTATTTCATCCAGCACAGACTTGTTTGTTCTTTTGGCAGTCCATGGTACTTTTGATATTCTTCTCTGATACCATAATTCAAATACATTAATTCTTCTATGTTCTTCCTTATTCATTGTCCAACTTTCACATGCATATAAAGCTATTGAAAATACTCTGGCTTGGCTTAGTCCTCAAACCAACATCTTTGCTCTTCAACACTTTTAAGAGGTCTTCTGCAGCAGACTTGCCTAATGCAATAAATTGTTTGATTTCTTAACTGCTGCTTCGATGAGTGTTGATGGTTGATCCAAGAAAAATAAAGTCTTTGACAACTTCAATCTTTTCTCCATTTATATGGATGTTATTTATTGGTCCAGTGGTGAATATTTTTGTTTTCTTTACATTGAAGTGCAACCCATATTGAACGCTGTGGTTTTTGATATTCATCAGTGAGTATTTTAAGTCAGGTTCACGGATTATTTGCTCAGCATACAAATTGAATTAGTATGATGAAAGAATACAATCCTGGCACACAACTTTTCTAATTCTAAACCATTCAGTGTTCTCATGTTCTGTTTGAATAACTGCCTCTTTGTCTATGTACAGATTAATCATAAGCACAATTAACTGTTCATGAATACTCATTCTCTGTAATGTATCCATAGCTTGTCATGATCCACACAATTGAAAGCCTTTGCATAGTCAATAAAGCACAGATAAACGTCTTTCTGGTATTTACTACTTTTAGCCAAGCTTCATCAAACATCAGTCATGATGTCCCTCATTCCACATCCTCTTCTGAATCTGGCTTGAACCTCCAGAAGTTCTCTATTAATGTATGGTTGCAGCCATTTTAAAATTATCTTTAGCAAAATTTTATTCACATGCAATGTTAATGAGATTGTCCAATGATTTCCACACTCCACTGGAATGGGCAGAAATATGGATCTCTTCCAGTCAGTTGGCCAGGTCTTCCAGATTTCATGGCATAGATGAGTAAGTGTCTCTGGTGCTGCATCAGTTTGTTGAAAGATTTCAATTTGTATTCCATCAAATCCAAGAGCTTTATTCTTTGAGATATTTTATACATTAAATATAGATTTCTTCACCAAAAAAGACAAGAGAATGTGAAATTTGGAAATCGTTCCTGGATAAATAATTAAAATAACTCATATGACGGAGTCAAATCAATTATATAATTAAAATACAAATTTCAAGGAATTAAGTAAAATGGATTCTATAGTAGTATGACACTGTAGGATAAGCACTGGATTTCTAACCATAAGAATGGCAGTTCAAGCCCACCAGCTACTCCTTGGAAATCCTATACAGGGTCCCTATGAGTCGGAATTGACTCAACGGCACTTAACAACAACAACGTATTTGTTGGGGTGAAATCTTTTTGTTGCTTCTAGTTTTTGTATTTTATGCTTGTTTTTGGTTTATTTCTTCCTCAAAAGACTAAGTAGTAAGATGCACGTATAATACTCAATAAATGATTAGTTACTCTTAGCCTTTTCTTCTAGGATATTAATTGTGTTGTTGTTAAGCGTTGTCGAGTCAGTTCCAACTCATAGTGACCCTGTATAGAGTTTCCAAGGAGTGAATGGTGGATTTGAACCTTGCGATTAGCAGCCTAGTGCTTATCCTATAATATAACACCAGGACAACCAGTGCTGATCCTTTAGCACCACACCAAGAGTCCTCCAATTAATATGAGCAAAAAAAATTTTTGGAATGGCAAATGAAATAATAAAAATTTAAGTCTAAGAAGATTATTATGTAGTTGATAAAGGTGATTGAGAATTCATAACAAAGGATACTTTAACTAGCATTCCAGAAGACCCCACTGAGTATAATAAGATTTACCTTTCGGTTCTATACCTACTATTCCACTATAAGATCATGGATGGCTTGCTTTGTGATGTAGATTTAATCACCTGATTTATCTGGGCTTTTAGTTTTCTGGT